CAGCTGGGACTCTGGCCCTGTCAACAACTAGAAAACCAAAGCATTCAGTCCTGTTAACAGGCCTCAGATCCAGAAAATGGCAGCCTGGGAACAGGAGCGCCCCAAAAGCCTACACAGGCCCTGTGGGGTATGCTGGCAGGCAGGCTGGGCGTGAGCGCCACCTAGCGGCCCCGCACCTCCTCCGCAGCCCCGTGCCCATGTGAACGCTGCACCTCGATCCAGCGCCGGCCACTGCCAGGGGTACTTCGCTCAACACGCACAGCCCTTAGGGAGGTGAGGCCAGTCCCCCTTTTACGGGTGAGGAAAGAGTTCAGTCCCAGAGGGAGGAGAGCTGGGTCAAGGGGAGTAGGGGAGTCCTGGCCAGCTCTGGGGAGAGAGCCCACCTCCGAGGTCACAGGGCAGGGTGTCCCGTACTCCGTGCTCTGAGAGACCTCCAGCCCCGCCCAGGCCGTCTGGAAACCCCGAGTGCAGTGTAGACAGCAGCTTACAGGGGGAGGATAGACAGAGGGTTAGAGGAGCGGCCAGGGGCTAGGCTCTGGGCCCAGCCTGTGTGTGACATGCCGTGTGACCTCAGGCAGTCCCTTTCCTCTCCAGCTTTACCTTTCCTGTCCTCACAGCAGACAGGGCTCCGACAGGCTCTGGGCCTAGAATCTAAGACCTGCGAGGAGAGCTGTGAGCCCCCGGGAGTGCGGGCACAAATGCCGGCACCTGTCAGTCCTCAGAGTGGTGAGGAGTCCGGGCCTGGTCTGGATCACCTACCAGCCACTCGGCCTTGGGCACGGCGCAACCGCTCAGAGCCTCGGCCTCTTCATCCGCGAAGCAGCTAGTGCAGTCCTGCTCTGTGGGACGGCTACAGTCTGAGGAGTTGATGCACGCAGAGTGCAGGCACCCGTAAGCGCTGCACATCCCACCCTACCCCAAGTAAGGCACGCAGGGCTTTGCTTTGTTTTGTTTTGATTTTTAAAGATTATTTTATTTTTTAACTTGCTATAGTCATCAAAGAGACAGGGGAAGTGAGAAAGCTAGCTGCCAGATCCAGAACTCGAACCACCATAGGCCGGGTGGGAGTCCGGTGCTCCAACCGCTAGGCCACCTGATGGCCCGAGATGGGTTCAAGCCAACACGCACTCCAGGGAAATACAGCTCGTTGTGCCCAGAGCATGGAGCCAAGGTTGGGCCAGCCTTTCCCCAAAGCGTGGAGGCCACCTTCTCCCTGGTCCCCAGACTCCTGTAGCTCTCGTCACTCCGCTCCTTGACCCAGGACCTAGAGATCCTGGGCATGAGGCACGAGGCCCTCGGGTCAGAACAGAGAATCCGGGTGGAGGTGAGAAGAGTGAGGGTCTCTGGTTTGGCAAAGCAGGCCTTAGTCTGAGCACCGGGCTCTGTCTAGCCACAGGGGTAGCATAGCACACCTGCTCCTCCCTCACACCCGCTCCTCCTGCACGCCCCCTCGTCCTGCATACCTGCTCCTCTGCTCCCCCTGCACACCACTCCTCCCTCACACCCGCTCCTCCTGCACACCCCCTCGTCCTGCACACCTGCTCCTCTGCTCCCCCTGCACACTACTCCTCCCTCACACCCACTCCTCCCTCACACCCCCTCATCCCGCACACCTGCTCCTCTGCTCCTCCTGCACACCACTCCTCCCTCACACCCGCTCCTCCTGCACACCCCCTCGTCCTGCACACCTGCTCCTCTGCTCCCCCTGCACACTACTCCTCCCTCACACCCACTCCTCCCTCACACCCCCTCATCCCGCACACCTGCTCCTCTGCTCCTCCTGCACACCACTCCTCCCTCACACCCGCTCCTCCTGCACACCCCCTCGTCCTGCACACCTGCTCCTCTGCTCCCCCTGCACACTACTCCTCCCTCACACCCACTCCTCCCTCACACCCCCTCATCCCGCACACCTGCTCCTCTGCTCCTCCTGCACACCACTCCTCCCTCACACCCGCTCCTCCTGCACACCCCCTCGTCCTGCACACCTGCTCCTCTGCTCCCCCTGCACACTACTCCTCCCTCACACCCACTCCTCCCTCACACCCCCTCATCCCGCACACCTGCTCCTCTGCTCCTCCTGCACACCACTCCTCCCTCACACCCGCTCCTCCTGCACACCCCCTCGTCCTGCACACCTGCTCCTCTGCTCCCCCTGCACACTACTCCTCCCTCACACCCACTCCTCCCTCACACCCCCTCATCCCGCACACCTGCTCCTCTGCTCCTCCTGCACACCACTCCTCCCTCACACCCGCTCCTCCTGCACACCCCCTCGTCCTGCACACCTGCTCCTCTGCTCCCCCTGCACACTACTCCTCCCTCACACCCACTCCTCCCTCACACCCCCTCATCCCGCACACCTGCTCCTCTGCTCCTCCTGCACACCACTCCTCCCTCACACCCGCTCCTCCTGCACACCCCCTCGTCCTGCACACCTGCTCCTCTGCTCCCCCTGCACACTACTCCTCCCTCACACCCACTCCTCCCTCACACCCCCTCATCCCGCACACCTGCTCCTCTGCTCCTCCTGCACACCACTCCTCCCTCACACCCGCTCCTCCTGCACACCCCCTCGTCCTGCACACCTGCTCCTCTGCTCCCCCTGCACACTACTCCTCCCTCACACCCACTCCTCCCTCACACCCCCTCATCCCGCACACCTGCTCCTCTGCTCCTCCTGCACACCACTCCTCCCTCACACCCGCTCCTCCTGCACACCCCCTCGTCCTGCACACCTGCTCCTCTGCTCCCCCTGCACACTACTCCTCCCTCACACCCACTCCTCCCTCACACCCCCTCATCCCGCACACCTGCTCCTCTGCTCCTCCTGCACACCACTCCTCCCTCACACCCGCTCCTCCTGCACACCCCCTCGTCCTGCACACCTGCTCCTCTGCTCCCCCTGCACACTACTCCTCCCTCACACCCACTCCTCCCTCACACCCCCTCATCCCGCACACCTGCTCCTCTGCTCCTCCTGCACACCACTCCTCCCTCACACCCGCTCCTCCTGCACACCCCCTCATCCGGCATACCTGCTCCTCTGCTCCTCCTGCACACCCACTCCTCCCTCACACCCGCTCCTCACACACGCCCCCTCGTCCCGCACACCTGCTCCTCCCTCACACCCACTCCTCCCGCACTCCTGCTCCTCCCACACACTTGCTCTTTGTGCACACTTGCTCTTCCCTCTCACCCACTTGTCCTGCACGCCTGCTCCTCCCTCACACCCACTCCTCCTGCACTCCTGCTCCTCCCTCACACTTGCTCCTTGCGCACGCCTACTCTTCCCTCTCACCCACTCGTCCCGCACACCTGCTCCTCCCTCACACCCACTCCTCCTGCACACCTGCTCTTCTCTCCTCCCACACACTCATCAGACTGAGAGCACAGCAGGGCTCCCTGATAAAGTGGGTTGTTAGTGCCGTGAGAGACCCCCAGTGAAAGGTGGGCCCTTCCGTAGTGTGAAACCTCACAGGCCACTGTCCTGCTGGAGTACTGGGACACCCTGGTCCCACAGAATAGAATCCCCGCTGTGTCATTCACAGCCCTGCAGCACCTGGGCCCCCTGACTCCCAGTCCCCACATGGTACCCCAATGCCTCAGGGTCCAATAGCCTGCGGCTGCCTCCACGCTTGGCCCTTGAGCACAAAGGTCCTCCTGCCTACAAAGGCCTTGCCCTGCCCTTGTCCCCCAGATGAACTCTGAACCCCAAGACATGCTACATCTTGCTGCTCACAGTGACTTTACCAGCAGCATGTCACGAGGGCGTGGCCCTAGAATCTGCATTTTGACAACACCTCCAGGGGAGCTGTCGGTGCAGACACACGGGAGGCACCGTGTTATCCTCGCTGCTCCCTGGCCCGCGTGAGCGCATGCGCACCACCTGGGAACAGAGGGCGTGCACTTGTCTTAGGGAGAGGGAGTATTCACAGTATTTCACAAGGGACCGGGCTGGGCACCAACCAAAGGACTTGCAGGAGCGTGGCAGGGTAGGGAGGGAGCAGGGGACCCTAAAGACCTAGTGGCTGGGCTATGGGGCGAGGAGGGGTCCCGGAGAGGAGCCCATCTGGCAAGGGGGGGGGGTGTCTCACCAGCTGCTAGTAGTGGACCAGCAGGTACCACCAGGTACAAAGTCCTATTTTAACGAAGGACAGAGACAGACCTTGGCCTTCCATGAAGTGACAGCACTGCTTTCCTCCAGGGCTGGGAGTTTCACTGGGTGAATTCCATACACACCTCAAGGTGCACGTGAGTGCACACACACACACACACCCAGCAGCGATACACAGCTGTTCCCTGGAGAAAAAGGGTGCTTCCCACTTACCCCAGGCGGCCCCCAATACTCCTGTATTCCTTCTCCCCAGTTCCAAGCCTATGTAAATCTGCCCCATCCAAAGGAGGGAACCAAGGGCTGTTTCAAAGCCCCGAGCCTTCAACACACGCAGACGTGTACATATCACATGCCAACACAGAGAGACATGTACAAAGTAATGCCAACAGACATATACGCATTACATGCCATCACAAAGACATGTGTATTACATGCTCACACAGAGATGCATGTACATATTACATGTTACCACAGAGACTGTACATATTACACATCAGCACAGCTACATATATGCATTACATGCTAGCATAGACAGGTACGTGTTACATACAAACACATACATGTGTGCACACATTACACGCCCACACAGGTGCATGCACATATGGCATGCCATCACACAGTGACATGTACATGGTACACGCCATCAGAGAGGCTCATCACGGGCAATGAGGAGGAAGGCACAGCGTCGCCCCACTGGGCGGAGGTACGCAGCTGCATCAAGTTCCGGCGGGACTCCCGGGATTAGAACTCAGGGCCGATGCCGGCGTGACTCCCGCTATCAGAACTCGGGGCCGATGCCGGCGTGACCCGCTATCAGAACTCGGGCGATGCCGGCGTGACCCGCTATCAGAACTCGGGCCGACGCGTCTCGCTGTCTTTGCAGGCGCACTGCTACTACATCACCGTGAAGAATTTCTGGGACTCGCTGGAGAAACTGGAAAACGAACCCGCGATTCACCAAGTGCTCAGACGCCTCTGCGACCTCTACGCCCTACACGGCATCTTGACTAACTCGGGCGACTTTCTCCACGACGGCTTCCTGTCTGGTGCCCAAGTAGACATGGCCAGAGCGGCCTACCTGGACCTGCTGCCCCTGATCCGGTGAGTGGCTGGGCCTTCGGCTCACGTTGGCCTTCAGAAAATAACCTTAGACCCTGTTCACAGGTCACTTCAATCTCCAAACCCTTCCTAATCAGGGAGCTGGCAAAAGCAGCATCAGCCCTGGGGAGGTTTACACTCAAGCGTTATTCCACCCAAAAAGCACGTGATGGGGGCCAGCAGGTGGCATGGTGGTTAAGGTCCTGGACTCCCACACAGCCAGCCATGGTTCGAGTTCCAGATCTGGCGGTTTGCTCTCTCACACTCTTGCCCCCTCTCTCTCTCTCTGTCTGTCTCTCTCTAGTGAGTACACATGCCAAATAGCGATTTTAAAATAACAATAAATAAAATGAAATAATTCATTTTTAAAAGAACACCATAGGGGACCAGCAGGTGGCATGGTGGTCAAGACACTGGACACCACCACATGGCCGACCACAGGAGTCCCAGACCAGGTGGCTTGCTTTCTCATTTTCCGTCTCTCTCTCGCTGTCTCTCTCTGGTCAAATTAAAATAAATGAATGAATAAATGAAATGAAATAAAATAATTCTTTTTAAAAAGAGCATTACGAATGAAAGAAAGAAATGGGAAAGAAATTAAAAATAAAAATACTTTCAGAATAAATTCACTACCTCAATTAAACACAACATTGTCAAGGAAATAGGAACAGTATTTAGGGAGTATGGAAAACATATGAAGCACGCTTCATATGAATAATATGTGTTAATAATAACAGTCTTAATTATAGCTAACTCTGAAGAAGCACTTACGTGCCAGGCCCTGTGCCAAAAGCTTTTACATTCATCATCTCATTTCATCCTGCAGGCCTTTGAAATAGATGCTATTAATCTCTCTGTTTTACTGGGGAGGAAATGCAGGCTTACTGGGGTTTACTGTCCTGCTGTCACATAACCAGAGGAACTGAGTGGACCCACCTCAGGCCTGTCTGACCCTGAGCATGCGCTTTTACATCTGCATGTCTGGGGTAAGGTGGAGGTATTGTTCCTTTCAAGTATATCCTGGGTTTTGTTAAATGTGCTTAAACAGGACCAGCAGTTAGCGTAATGGATATATCACTGGACTCCCATGTAGTCAACCGCAGTTCAAGTCCCGGGCCCAGTGGCTTAAGCTCATGCCAGGTGTGTGTGCGTGCGTGCCCAAAATCCTGAAAGGAGAACAGAGAAGGGATTGCGGCATGGCCATCCCCTGGGGGGTGGGGGGGGTGGGGGTGATTTCTCACTTTCTGTCTCTCTCTCTCTCTCTGTCTTTCTGGTAAGTGCATGTGCCCTATAGCAAAAACCTCTCCAAAAAAAAAGGGAAAAAAAATGTGCTTAAACAAATTCTTGCCAAGTTTAGTAAAGTACCTATAATCCTCCCTTAACTTCCAGATGCTCGTGGACTATGCGTGTTGTGAAAAAATGATGCATGGGTTTCTAAAACATTTGGGACCAAAATAAACTTGTACCATTTTCCACAAACTTTTTGAAGTCTCTTCATAGCACAAGTAGATGGTTTTTTTTTTTTCAATTATTTATGTAATTTTATGTATTAGTAGAGACAGAGAGACAGGGAGAGAAAGACAAAGAAAGTGAGAGAGCAAGCTGCCAGGTCCAGAGCTTGAACCACATTTGGCCATGAGGGAATCCAGTGCCTTCACCACCTGCCAGCCCAACAAATAGTATTTTAAAAACTCCCCAGGCAGAGCGTGCATGGGTGCACACTCCCCAGGGGGCATGGTCACACTGCTTTCTTTCCCTCCAGTTCTCGATCGCATCAGGATTTGGGGCACTCGTGCACAGTGCCTGCTGTGTCTTTTAGCCACCAAGGCTGAGTCGAGCCGCAGTCGACCATATGGGATCCAGCTCCCAGTGTAGAGCATTTAAGCCCTGCCCTGTGACCAGCCCCAAATCATTGGTATTTATTTATTTGTTGTTTATATTAATTTTTACATTTTCTAGAGGGCACATGCGTTAGCTGGAGAGAGAAAGGGAGAGAAGGAAATGGAGAAAGCAGCCCCTAGAGGGTACGGTCATGCCACAATCTCTTCTCTATTCTCACTTTGGTGTTTTTCTCAAGTCACCAGGACCGAGAATCAAACTGCATAGTTGGCCACGTGGAATCCAGCCGCCTTAACCACCATCCCACCAGTTGGCCCCCCAGATAGTTGGTTTTTGTTTTGTTTTGTTTTGAGAGGCTTTTGCTATGGGGCACATGCGTTCACCAGAAAGACAGAGAAGGACAGAGAGACAGAAAGTGAGAAATCACCCCTTAAGGGAAATGGCCATGCTGCAGTCCCTTCTCCTCCATTCTCCCCTTGGAGTTTTGGGCATGCATACACACGCATCCAGAATGAGTTTAAGCCACCGGGTCTGGGAATCCAACCATGGTAGACTACATGGGAGTCCAGCGACAGCCATTATGCCAACTGCTAGCCCCTGCCCCCCCCAATAC